ACAACTCGACGATTTATAAGTCTTTATAAAGAAGTTTTTAAACAAGAGTTGATTGATATGTCTATAAAAACATATAAATGTGTGAACTTAAGAATCCTTGTGAGGAATGCTAGGCATAATGAGTATAAGGAACTCAAAAATGATTTATAAACGTTTATAAACTGATTTATAAACGTTTATAAACTGATTTATAAACGTTTATAAACTGATTTATAATGGCTTACATGTTAATTTTTCTAAAGTCCCTCAAAAGACAATCAAAACAAAAAAGGCATATCCGGTGAAAGAGATCCACGTCCTTTAACAAAGGATATATTGCCTCAAACCCTCTTTGTAAACTGTACAGAGACCATGCTTGTGATCAGAATCAAACAAACTCATTTCAAGGTTTAGTTTTATAAATACTACTAGTTCCCTTAACTCTTTTGGATGGAGAAGGGAATGTGAGAAGCACCAAGATCTCAAATGAAGGAAGTGGAATCAGCGGCTCGCCTTCCCTAAGAGCTCCATCTACAAGTATGGTCGGAGCCCTTGGACTCGACAACATCCTAATTAAGAGATGTCTGAAGAAGATGAGATAGAAGAATGTATTAAGAAGCCAACTTTGCAACATTTATAAAGCGTTATAAATATGTAATTCTTTGATTACACAAACCACGTTCTTGTTCAGAGTCTCTCTTGCTTCTTCAAACAGCTCACCAACCTCGTCGATCTTCAAAATCTGAACGCAAGCCAACCACAGATTATTCGTACGCATCAGCACTCACTTTCAAAAACAAGATTCAAAAAAAATATGCTTTCGTAACTCAACAAACTCATGCGCCATCTCCACTGCTTCTTTAGATATTATACACTAAACAAGACAAACGAAAAAATGAATCTCAGTAAGTACCAAACAGAATGTTACACAACCAAAACACCAACCTTCCACCTCATATAATGCACTAAACCTTGCTAGTCAAACTACAAATAGTGGCATTTGTATTCCCTCAAGAAAGTGAGGTACTTGATATGCATATCACCACACATATTCTCCACAGCATCCTTTAAATCAAAAAGCTTACATCACACCTTTGTAATTCCCAACATTACCAGATCAACCAAGAGAAGAAGTAATCATGGAATAATCTTACTCTTAAGTTAGTAATTAAATATATGTTAAGCTCTATGTATTTTGATTGCTAACAGATCAACAGTAAAATTCAAAAGAACCCAATTTATAAGGTCATATAAATCTGAGAGTTGAAAACTTCATGACAAAAACTTCGTCTTCCTTCGCAGAAACAGATCGATTTTTGATAAATCAAGCTACAATTATAGAAAGAGACAAAAATCACCATACAGTATCCTCTTACCTTTGTTAGCATCTCTTAGGCATCACGAGAGAGATCGTCTCGTTCGTGCTTCGCTGGAGAACTCATCAGCATCGTCCGATTCCGCCGGAGAACTCGTCATCATCTTCAAAGCTCACCAGAAAAATCGTCACAATTTTCAAATCTCGTCAGATTTTATTATTGGTATTTAATTTGGCGGATCTGAAATTTAAGAAATTGTGGGGGGAAGAAGACGATAGTTTTAGGTTTTATTAGTGAGGGGTATAATTGTATTTTACCTATTAAATTTTTAATGGTAAAGTTGGTTAATGTATAAATGAAAAATGGTATTAGGAAAGTGGTATTTGTTACAATTTCCCATGTATATATCTATCGAATTGTGCTTTATAATTAATACCAAATCAAGAGCTTTTAATGTAACCGAGATTTTCTGCATAAAAAAATAAGAATATACTGAGGATTTTTGTAAAGAATAAAAATGTAAATTATAATTATGTTCCAAATAATTATAAGATAGTGAATCATCACTAACTTCCTAAATAATAGATAACTTCCTAAAAAATAGCGCAATATAATTAACTGCGTAAAGATTAGATTAGGCTAACTATAATATCATATTGTTATTAGACTATAGATTAATAATATGGGAAACAACTTAAAAATTTACCTAGAAGAAGTTGTAATGCTTCTATTTAATAAGATAGATTTAAATGTAAAATATATATTAGATAAAAATATAAATATTTAACAAATAAACCTTGGTTCTTGTTTATTTGTTGTTTGCGTTATACTACTATTAAATTGAAAATAGAAGTCAAGAAAACTTACCAATATAATCCAGTGTTTGAAGGTTGATATCAAATAATTTGGATTCTTGTAGCGATTATTTTTTCCATAGCTATTCCAATGAAATAAATCCGTGAAATTAAAATGATAATGATTAGATCTAACCTAGGAAATAAATATGAAAAGTGAAGATAATGAATTTACCTGAGATTTATAGAAAATAAAAATATTTAATTCTTCCAAAAAAAAAGAAGATAAATGTTTAGTTCAAAGGAAAAAAAACTAAATAAAACGAAGATGATCAAATCATAACATGTAAGTTACAGAAGTTTGAATTCTTTTACAAAATGCTGCAATCTTTACACCCTACAAAACAAAGAAAAGTTGAATAAGATATTGATTAGAAAATGCTTTTTTTTTAAAAAAAAAATCAAATTTGTGTAACTTACATTTTCGTCAGCGAGGACCAACTCTAATGTGTCGCTTCCATAACTGGTATTTTATTTCCAACAATGAAGAACCTTAAAGCGAATTTTCCAATTATCTCTGTAAGGTTTAACGCCGTTAAGGAATACAAAAGTGTTTGGCTTTGTCATTTTTTTATTGGAGGTGATAGTGAAAGTCGAATGATGAATATGAGAAGAATTATATATACGCCTCATATTTTAGGTAGACCGTCAAAACAAATATACTTTCCAACAATTCAAAAAATCAATTAATAGTCTATAATTAATATCAAATCAAGAGATTTAGTATCTAAGCGAGATTTTAGCCAAAGTAGGTTGACTTGAAGAAAGGATAATTCCATAAAGGATTATATATATTTATCGAATTGTGATTTATAATTAATACCAAATCTAGAGCTTTAAATGTAACCGAGATTTTCTGCTTAAAAAGAATAAGAATATACTGGAGATTTTTGTAAAGAGTAAGAAGGTAAATTATAATCATGTTCCAAATAATTATAAGATAATGAATCATCACTAACTTCCTAAATAATAGATAACTTCCTAAACAATAGCGAAATATAATTAACTGCGTAAAGATTAGATTAGACTAACAATAATATCATATCGTTATTAGACTATAGATTAATAATATGAGGTCCAACTTAAAAATTCACCTAGAAGAAGTTGTAAGGTCCGAACAATTCCATAAATATGAAAAAACTTTTGGCTTTTTGTTTGATTTAAAGAAACTCACAAGTGATGAAAGTTTAAGAGCATCGTGTTTGAATCTTGAATCTTCTCTGAAGCATGGTATGAAATCTGATATAGATGGGGAAGCTTTGTTTATAGAGCTAAAAATTCTTCGGGAATCATTACCAAACGAGGTTTGGAAACCTATCAAAGTGTTGGATTTTTTGAAAAGAAGGGATGTATGTTATCCAAACACATGGGTGGCTTACCGAATACTGTTGACCGTCCCGGTATCAATTGCTTCTGCTGAAAGAAGCTTTTTGAAATTGAAGCTAATCAAGAATTATATGCGTTCCACCATGTCACAAGAAAGATTGAATGGATTGGCTATATTATCAATCGAGAAATCTATGCTTGAGAAACTCGATTATACAGCTTTGATGGATGATTTCGCAGGAAAAAGTGCAAGAAGGATCATATTCAGATAGTTATTAGTGTCTTTTGTTTCTTGTGTTTGAGTTCTATCGCTGGTTTTAGAGATATCACACTGTTATTTTTTTGGCTTTTGAAAGTAATGAAAACCAGTTAGTATTATTTATAGATTTGACTTAAAAACGAAACAGGGGCACATTTGTTTTGTATTGCATATGGTCTCTATTAGTCACGGACCGGTGCTGCCTATAAGTACTGTTTCCACCAATTTTTTGTGTGCCCCTCTCTCTTTATAGTCCCACAGAACTTATTGTCTCATGTTCAATGGTTTTTTTAACCAAAACTATATATACTGTTCTTCCTAAATGTTGCAATTATCTGTGGAGGCCGTGCGTAGAGCCAAGGAACTTCTAACATATCAGTGAGTACCGAGTTTATCAGAAACCATACCTTGATTTAGCAAAGAAATGAATCAGAAACTGAACCATTGTAGACTGTGAATTGAAGAATAGAAACGCCATCGTCTTGTAAATGAGGTGTTGTTTTTAATTTTTAGTTGTTAAAAGTCCCACATCGGAACAAGCAGGCCTTTTCGCTGTTGTATATATAAAGATTAACTCACAACCACTGTATGTCGAGCTTGGTAATGCGGGCTTGTGATCCGAGTGGAGAGGACAAGATGGTGGGACATTGGACCAATTTCTTTGAGCCGGATTCGGTTGGCTATCTATTGGCCTGCCCATAGGCTTGTGGTTCGGATTCTCTTAGAGCGGAGGAGACTGCATGAGGCTGGTTTCACAGAGCAGCGTCCACTTCCCGCTTTCGACAGTGGAAGGATCACGGGCTGGTGCCATCTGAGACCCCACTATGACCCAATAAACTGGTTCCAACGGGACCAACATCTTTTTTACTAAACCCATGAGAAATAACAAATTTTCATGAATAGACAACAACATTTTTACAGGATCGAGAATGTTTTGTGAGATAAATTGTTCGACTCAGAATGAGTTTCTTCAAGAACAGGACATGCTGAGACGAGCTTCTCCAGATTCATTCCTACCATATCATCGTATTTGTACAAGAGGCATGAGTTTGAGACAAAGGCATAGATGCAAAACCAGGACATGATAAATGATCTGATATTAACATCTCATTAGTTTCATAAGGTATTGTCTATGCATTAAGATATCAGTGTAGTATCACCTTAACTTGATGTAATTTATTAGACCTAAACTTAATCAAAAGGAGGCATTAAATATTTTTATATGATCTTTTAATTCCATACTTGAGCAACAAGAAACAAATATCACTACTCTTCAACAGGAGATGATGATATGAACTCCACAAACGTCTTCATCAACTTCAAAGCATTTTCAGAGTTAGGGTTATGGAGATGGAAGCAATGTCCTTCCTCTTCTTCCACCACCACTTTCAAATCTCCTTTCCACCCACTCTTCTCCAGCTTCGCCGCGTAAGCCAACCCTTGCCGTCCAAACACATCTTCTCCAGTCACCGCAACCAAAACCCTCTCACATCCCAGCCCGGATATATCCGACCCGGATCCGACAACGTTAAACCAAGGATCATCCACTCCATCTACGCTATTCGGACTCACCAGCTCCCAGACTTGTGCAATTTGGCTTCTGATTCTTTCGTCTTGCACGTCTTTCTCGTCAACCGGATCTTTACTCCAAAAACCTGGATGCACCATAGCGACTCCTTTGATTCTAGGGCTCAGCTTCTCTCTGCCTGATCTCATTACCATGTGATGAGATATATTAGCTCCGGCGCTATCTCCGGCGATAAAAACTCTGTTGAAGTCAGCCAACTCGTTGATCCAAACTTCTTCACCAACTCCATCTGAATGAGAAAATATCCACCGAACCGCCGACCAAGAATCATCATACGCAGCCGGTATGGGATGCTCCGGCGCGCGGCGGTATTCAACTGATGCGGCGAGGCAGTTAGAGGTTTTGACGACCTCGGTGAGGTAGTTATGGTAAACAGGGGAGAAAGGGGACTCCATGACGTAAGCTCCGCCGTGGAAGTAGATAAGTAGTGGTAGTTTTTCACCGGCGGCGAGTTTTGTTGATCTATTAGGGAGAAAGAGACGAACGGAGAGGTTGTGCTCCGGTGAGTGCACGACGTCTTTTGTCAGGACGTCGTTTTGTGGGTCTAGTGACGCAGGGATGACGTCGTTTCCGCTAAGTCGCTCAACGCGGCCGTTTTTGTGAATTCGGATGAATGGAAGAGGGAGGTGAGATTCCATCTTTGGTTTTGGAGAAGAGAGTGAAGTTAAAAATGGTCCACGTGATGATATATAACACGTAATATGATGGCATCGTTACGAGAACTAATTAGTTACTTTTCTTTAATTGAATTTGGATTTTACCATTGGAAAGCCAATTGTTTTGGCAGATTCCATTGCGAAAAGAGGAGTTATGGCTTTCCAAAACTCTTTTTCGGTTACATCAGTTATTGGTAACATGTAGGTGTCAGAATAGAGGGACGTATTTGGAACGAAAGTGTGTTTACTGGTTTTGCTATTGCAATTAAACTTAGATTACAAGTCTCATATGGCCAGAAACATTCCACATAAGGTGATACGCACTATTAATTCAATTTTTCATTAATTAGGTGAATGACTTTATTTTTCTGCAAATAATAGAGACGCTAGATTTGCCTCAAAGCCTCAAAAGGAAAGCATGATGTGTTGCAATTTTCCTTTATTCGTATCAATACTCTAAGTCAAGAACAGAGTTTTAAGATATTCCTTCAACTGGTAATAAAATCGACGAACTTCTTTATGAATTTGGGAGCATTTTCAGAATTAGGGTTTAAGAGATGAAAGCTATGATCTTCATCTCAACGCGGGCGTTTTTTCGAATTCGGATGGATGGAAGAGAAAGATGATTCGAGGTAAGATGAGATTCCATCTTTGTTTTTGGAGCAGAGAGTGAGAGTAAAAATGGTTCAACTTCCAAGTGATGATAACACGTAATATCTGATGACATCGTTACCAGCACTAATATGCAAGTTATATATTGTTGTGATTAACAAAAATATTTTATTTTTAAAAAATAAAGTGTACTTTACTTTAATTTGATTTGGATTGTGTTTTGGCTTTCCAAAACTCTTTTTCGGTTACATCAGTTATTGGTAACATGCAAGTGTCAGAACAGAAGACGTATTTGGAACGAAAGTGTGTTGCTGGTTTTGCTATTGCAACTAAACTTGGATTACAAGTCTCATATGGTCAGAAACATTCAATTAGAAGGTGAATTGGCTTTATTTTTCTTCTTCTTTTCTTAGGTTAATGACTTTTTGTTTTCTGCAAATGATAGAGATTGACTGCTGTCCGCAAGAGATGGTAGGAGAAAGGTTGAAACATGTGTGACGATTAACCAATCTTTATGTGTAATACACTGCGTAAGGATTGGATTATCAGCTATCACTTATCTAACATTAAACAGTTTGACATGATCGATCTTAAAACTACTAAAGCATCAAATTTATTCGTATCATACTTGATACTCTTAGTCAAGAACAGATTTTAAGATATTAACTGGTAATAAACTCGACGAACTTCTTCATGAATTTGGGAGCATTTTCAGAATTGGGGTTTAAGAGATGAAAACAATGATCTTCATCTCCCTCCTCCATCACCTCCAAGTCTCCTTTCCACCCACTCCTCTTCAGCTTAGCCGCATATCCCAACCCTTGCCGCACAAACACATCTTTCCCCGCCACCGCGACCAAAACTTTCTCACATCCCAACCCTGAAAAATCCGAGTCGGATCCAACAACGTTAAACAACGGATCATCCGTCCCATTCACACTATTAGGACTCGCAATCTTCTCCCAAATCTCAGCGATTCCGCGTCTCGTCTCTACGTCTTGCACATCGTGCTCGTCCACAGGATCCGTTCCCCAGAAAGCTGGATGCACAATCGCAACACCTTTGATTCTAGGGTTGAGCTTCTCCTCACCTGCTCTCATGGCCATGTGATGAGACATGTTGGCTCCTGCGCTATCTCCGGCCATGAAAACTCTGTTGAAATCTGCGTATTCGTTAATCCAATCTACAGGACCAGACCGATCTGAATGTGAGACGATCCACTGAATCGCAGACCATGAATCCTCGTACGCCGCGGGGATCGGATGCTCCGGTGCACGGCGGTACTGAACCGAGACGGCTAAGCAATTCGCGGCTTTCACAGCCTCCGTCAGGAAGTTGTGGTAAATTGGAGAGAAAGGGGACTCCACGATCCATGCTCCGCCGTGGATGTAGATAAGTAAGGGGAGTTTATTACCCGCGGCGCCGGTGAGTTCTCTAGCTTTATGAGGAAGAAAGAGACGAACCGAGAGGTTATGTTTTGGTGAGTACACGACGTCTTTCGATACGACGCCGTTTTGTGGGGCTAGAGATGCTGGGACGGTTTCTGTTCCGGAAAGACGCTCGACACGACCGTCTTTGTAGATCCTGACTATCCCAGGATGCTCGGAGACGATATCAGATGGAGAGTGTGAACAAATACTACGAAGAGTTGTGGTAGGAGCGGTTAGTCGGCGCAGGTGGTGGCGGCCGGAAACGCTGACGGTGGTCCGTGAAGATGATGACAGCGAAAAGTAAGAGTGAGGGGTCTGGCGAAACAAGCGAAGAAGCGAGGGGGCGAACAGAGCGAGGAGGAAGAGGTGATTCTTCGGAGCATGTTTACAGAAATAATATCTTTCGGACAAGGATGGCTTAAGTGTCGGCAAGAATATCCAAATCTTTTAATGCGGAAATAAAAACTTGGACACGTACGTATGCCTGTTTGTCTATAGAGGAGGATGAGCAACATTATTGCTGAGACAAAAATTAAGTCTCTTAACATTTTTTATTAATATTTGAAGCTTAAGAGACAAAGCTAAGATACATTAGTATAAGTGTGGATTATTGGTAGATACACTGATTATTAGTAAATTCTTGGATGTTAAAAACATAACTCTTCTACCATTTCTTAGCATATTCTTGGTTACATGATTATTTTAGTGAAACATCATTTGGTTTGGTTCTATAAATGAGAGTCTCATCAACAACAACAATAACCACCTATGCAAAAAGGAAAACAAGAATGCTAAAAAAGAGAGTTTTGAATCCATCTTCATTATCATCTTTCTTCATTCAGGGTTGAGTTTAGAGGTACTTGAAGAGGATACCACCATGAGTGGCAAAGAAGGGAGCAAAGATAAGAGACTCAACAACCATGAGCTTGATCAGGATGTTCAACGAAGGTCCTGAAGTATCTTTCAATGGTTCTCCAATGGTCTCTCCAATTACAGCTGCCTTGTGTGGCTCTGAACCCTTTGATCCAAAACTCTTTNTCAGGGTTGAGTTTAGAGGTACTTGAAGAGGATACCACCATGAGTGGCAAAGAAGGGAGCAAAGATAAGAGACTCAACAACCATGAGCTTGATCAGGATGTTCAACGAAGGTCCTGAAGTATCTTTCAATGGTTCTCCAATGGTCTCTCCAATTACAGCTGCCTTGTGTGGCTCTGAACCCTTTGATCCAAAACTCTTTGAGTGCTCTGATACACCCGGCTGAAACACAACTCTCAATAATTTAAGAACTTGATTTCTTCTCTCACACTAGTTTGATTAAGCTATAAGAAAAATCAGTTATGTACCTCGATGTACTTCTTGGCGTTGTCCCAAGCACCACCAGTGTTAGATGCAGAGATAGCAATCTAGTTCTAAATTGACTTCACCATTCTCATAGAACAGCTTCATGAGCATAACAAAGTAGTAGATGGGAAAAGAAGTAGAATCTTACTGCCAAGGATCGTCTCCAACAAGCATCATATCACCTTTGTGCAACTCCTACTTGAGTTTGTTTTAGTATGAACATCCTTCGGTTGAGGATGATTAGCTTGAAATGGTCTTCCTTGTTCACGTTGATTATTTGTTGATATCCTGCAGTGTCCATCTCTTGACTTTGCTGTCTCCTCCACCATCGCTGGAAGTTTCGTTACATGCTCCCTAGCCTGAGCATTAACCACATCCTCATAATAATTCAACGCACGTGGACGTATTGGCCAATTACCACCAGCGTTGTTCTCATGCATCACTCACGTCTTCGCATCTCATGCATCTAACAAGAGCACTCATCAAAGCATTATAATCTCTAAATCATGTGTGAACCTTCTCTTAGGAATTTCATCAAACAGTTGGAGTGCACCAAGAAAGCTTATGAGGATACTAAACCTATCCGGCTCAAATTCACATCTCATCATTTCTTTAAACATAACCAACAAACTTACTCCATCACCAACCGCAAGAAACCCAGAAACCATAGAAGATCACAAAGNAGCCTTGATTCCTATGAACACCATTCTACAATAAAACTTAAGCGCTTCGTGATACTGATCAGAGCTAGTGAAGCCTTTGATCATCACGTTCCACACGAAAAATCGTCGTAGAGAGAGAATAGAGAGACGAGAAGAATAATTTGCAGACCGAAACTCGACCTTCCTCTACCCCAATCCTATGATGCCACGTGCTCCTTAGGGACGTCGTCCAAAACTTCTTATTTAACCCACGTCTCTTTGATTTTTCTTTAATTTTGATTTATTTTTTTGCTGATTTTCGCTAAGGACGTTGTTAGGAGTCGCCGATATTGTTGGTCTAAGTGTTTGGTGCGACTTAACGTTTCTTGTCTTTTATTCTTATTTTTATACTAGGTAGTTTGTCCGCACTTGCGGGCTTAATAGTTTTACTAATATCTATAAATAAATATATAATCAATTTATGTAAATTATAATAAATTATTGTTCATAGACTCAAAATATTTAATCAAAAACTAAACATATTCTTTCTATATATAAAATTTTTCATCATCATATAAATAATTTTCATTACACAACTTATATTTGAAAATACTCATAAACTTAAAATATTTAGTAATAAATCAATATCATTTTTTGACATAACAAAAAAATGAAAAAAAAATTATCTTTAATATTTTTTTGGATAACACAATATAAATTATCTATACATAAATTCTTTGCGAATTGATTTTTCATAATTAACTATATATTAACAAATATAATTATTTTTCAACGTTAATAAAGACTTTATAACACAATATAAAAAAAGTTCAATAAGGATAATTATCAAATTCATGACATTCATTTTTTAATTTAGATTTAATTATATATTAATAAATATAATTATTTTTCAAGGTTGATAAAGACTTTATCACATAATATAAAAAAATTAAAATAAGGATAATTATCAAATAAATAAAATTTGTTTTTAATTTTTAATTAATTATATATTAACCAATATAATTATTTTCAAGGTTAATATAGACTTTATAACCCAATATAAAAGAGTTTTAGATAAAGATAAATCTAAAATCATTGAAATTAGTTTTTCTTATTTTTGATTTTTTATAAATTTATTATATTAATTATTCACAATTATTTAAGATAATAACATACTAATCTAATTTTATTTTTTAAATTTCGTTACTAATCTAGGCGTTTTTTCCCGCCATGCGGGCTTAAGCCTTTTAAAATTATTTGTTAGCAAATATATTAATAATAAAAAATTAGAAGCGTAAATTATTATTTGTGTTTTCATTTTGAAATTTTCTATTTAGCTTAAAAATTATTCAATATTATCTTTTCAATTGTATAAAATTAAGAATTTTAATTAATTAATATGTAATTATTTGTTTTCTGCTTTTGAATTTTTAAATATTTTATCAAAAGATAGTTTTTGGATAACAATACAATATATATAGGAATTATCTTTTAAAAATAAAATATATTTTTATATTTTCGATAACTCTTATTGTTATTATTTAAAATAACTTATCTAATTAAATAAATTTAAATTCGTTTTTATATTTAATTAATTTATATAATTTATTCATTAAGGGTATAAACGATATTAACCGCTCCAACTTTTAACGTGGGAACTCCGTTGCAAAAAATCACTTCGCAAATAATAGTATAGATTTCTCACACTGTTTTTACTTCAAACTAGGTGGTTTCCTACACTATCTATCTCCAGAAATAAAAATTTTAAAAATAAATTTATATTTAAAAATAAAATAAAATTAATATTTAAATTTATTATTTTATTACATTATTAGTTTTACATTAATTATATGTAAAAATAAAGAGAAAACAAACAGTTTTATTTAAATATATGATAGTTCTCTCAAATAGAAATTTTTAAGGTTTTTTTCACCAAAATAGATCTTAAAACTAAAATGACCAAAATAACATTTTTTATTTTGAAAATTTTAAACTTTTTTTTTTAAAAAAATTTGTAATCCTATCCCAAAACTCCACTTCTCAACTTTAAACAAAAAAATTTACGATTAGTTAACCCAAAGGATATAAATGTATATTTACTTATTTTTGATAAAACATTTAAATCTATCTTGGTCATTTTTATTTTAAGGTCTATATTTGTGATTAAAACGTTTTTTAGGTCTATCTTAAAAAAAATTCTTAAATTTATATTTAATAATATATATATATATGTATCTTTTATCTTTTGGTTAAATTATATTAAGTCAGATTCTATACTATTAAGAGAAAATTTTGTTAGATATATAATTATCAAAATATAAAACTAAATAATATTTCTAAAATTTATATATGTTATAAATAAAGCTAATGGTATTGGGATTAGAAAAAAATTAATTTTAAAAAATACTGCACAAAATTTTGAAAAAAAATTATTAATAAAAAATATATAATTATAAAAATACACTTAAAATATTTCAATATTTGTAATATTATTATATTTATATTTCTACTATTATATAATTTATTATCTTAATGATAATTTATGAGTTCTTTTTCTTATCACTATTTTAATACAAATTTTTGTTTAATCAAACATAAAAAAATAATATAAAAATATTTTTGTTTATTTTAAATTATATTTAAGAATATGCATGTATATATTTAAAATTATAATCTTAGATAATTTTTTTATCTATTTATTTTAATTAAATATATTAAATAAATTTATAGAAAATTTTATAATTATAAAAAATTAAAATTAGACAATATTTATTAAATTTTTAAATATATAAGAAATTAATATTTTAGGATTAAATTTTAATAATTTTCAGAAAATGTATACATTTTTGAAATTTTTGTAATAAAATTGTATAGTTTTAAAATATATAATTAAATGATATTTTCGAAATTTTTAATGCTATATTGGTATATATTTATTTTAATGATGATTTATTAGTTATTAACATATTTTAAAATATTTCTAAAAATATAAATTGACATTAAATGTAATATATGAGTTGTTACCATATTCTATAAATTTTTCCAAAAATATATATTAACTTTAAATGCAATTGTTCATGTCATATTTAATCATATGCCATGTCATCAATTCTAGTAGACATGTCACCATTTTTTGTGAAGCTGATTCTAGAGAAGACATGTGGCAAAATCACTTCACAAATAATGTATAGAGATTACATAGAACTAACATAAAATTTCACTCCATTTCAAAATAAAATTCACCCTCAAATGATATGCAAATTGCATTTTCAAAGAATAGCAAATCATTGCAAATCAACTAGCTAATGCATTTGCAGACACCAAAACAGTAACATAATCACATATACCGACTACAAATACTCATGCTCGTATAGAAATGCCACGTGAACGTACAGAAGATGATAAAACACGAGAGACAAAATACTTTTGAAGCATGGTAGACCTGTTGGTTCTGGATAAAAATCCTAAAAACGAAAGAAGATGGAAAATCAAAAAGTCATCCAATATAACATAAAGACTGGAAGAAATGAACCATAAGGATGATAAAATTGTCGAACATCATGATTCTGAAGAACATCATGAGATTTCTATTAACTACATTCTCAGTAAAAAAAATATGGAATCGAAATAAAGTGAATTGTATTGATGATGTTTTCTCGTACTTTTTTCAAAGGAAAAAAATGAAGAGACCGACGATCCATAACCAAAGTCCATTTCTAAATGTCAAAAGACACACGACTGAATGAAATTGCAGGATCCAATACAAGTCGAGCTTGATTCTCTTAACAAACGAGAGGTATTTGGACCTACTGTAATCACACCTGAAGTTGTGAAACCAGTCGGGTATAAGTGGGTTCTTGTTCACAAACGAAATGAGAAAAACAAAGTAATGAGATACAAGGATCGTCTTGTACCTCAAGGATTTTCTCAAATACCTAGGATCGATTATGGAGAAACATATTATCATGTTATGGATGCAATCACTTTTCTGTTTTTGATGAGTCTTACAGCTAATCATAATCTAGAAATGCATCTAATGGATGTTGTTATAGCATATTTACTTGGATTATTGGACACTGATATTTATATGAGAATCCCATAAGGATTTAAGATGTCAGAACTATTAAGTTCTAAACCTAGAGAGTTATTTGCAAATTAATTGTAAAGATCATTTTATGGCTTACAGAAATTTGGACGCATGTGGTATAATCATCTTAGTGAACATTAATTAAAGAAGGACATCTAAACGGTCCTATATGCCCATGTGTTTTCATCAAGAAAACATTATCTGGATTTGTTATTATTTTTGTATATGTCGATGATCTAAATATTATCGGGACTAAAGAAGAAATACAAAAGGCATCTGACTATTTAAAAGGAGAATTTGAGATGAAAGATATCAGACAGAAAAATTATTGTCTTGGTCTATAAATCGAACATTCACATAATGATATATTTGTACACCAGTCTACATATACTTGGCCCATAAATGATGTATCTAAGTGCAATAGGAGCACTTATGTATCTTACAAATTGCACTCGGCCTTCTATATCATTTGTAGTTAATCTTTTGGAAAGAGACAGTACATCTCATACGCAAAGACATTGGAATGAGATCAAACATGTCTTTCGCTCTCTTCAAGGAACAATTAATTTAAGATTATTTTACCCTAACAACTCAAACGAAGAAATAGTTGGTTTTGTTGATGCATGATATTTGTCTAATCCCCCCCCCATAAAACTAGATCACAGACTGGATACATATTCACAATTGGAGGAACTGCTATATCATGACGATCCTAGAAACAAACAATTGTAGCCACTTCCTCGAACCATGCTGAAATAATTGCTCTCCACAAAGCAAGTAGATAATGTGTTTGGGTCAAATCAATAAGTCAACACATCCTTTCAAGTAGTGGGATCAACATCAATTTAGAACCAACCATTTTATATGAAGACAATGCAGCATGTGTCGCTCAAATAAATGAAGGATACATCAAAAGCGACTGAACCAAGCATATTCGACTGAAATTCTTCTCATATACTCAAGAACTCGAGAAAAATAAAAAATTTGAAGTGAGATATGTTCGATCTTGTGACAATGCTACAGATCTCTTTACAAAGGTCACTACCTACTATGAGATTCAGAAAACATGTTTACAATATTGGAATGAATCATCAACAAGACCTGTAACGATTTTTTATTCGAGGGAGAGCTTCCGAGTTGTACTATTTTTGTCTTAATATAGTTTTTTCCGCTGGTTTTCCAAGAAAAGTTTTTAATGAGATCTGTATATAAAATATTAATGACGATGATCTCCAAGGGAAAGTGTTACAAAAGTTAAGAAGATTTCGTAAGAAAATAGAGATGAACTCCATACCACTAATACTTATGATAAATTTTGTCGACTCTGCCTATATAAAAAATTGTATTTCGATCATTTCATAGTGCGCCTTTTTAAACGAGTAATAATAATTTATTTCCTTACCGTTTCTGTATTCTTCTTCTTCTCCTTCACCTTTATTATTAGCTTCTTTCTATTCATAGTTTTGTATTATTTACTTATAAATAAATACTCTAATAATTAATAATAAATAATTATATATTTATCACAAAACGAAACAATACGACTATAATTATAACAAGATGCATATTATTTTATTTTTGAGGAATAAATAACGAGTCAAATAGTTTAAAAAATAACTGAGGCTTGATATAAATGTCAACATTTGTATTAAGTTTTGTTTAAAAAAATATAAATGTTAACACCACATATATAATAAATATTATATGAAAATGAATAATAAGTAACAAGTCAAATAGTTGAAAAAATAACTGAGGCTTGCTATTTGACTTGTACTTATAATATAAGTAATAAAAAATTGATACATGTTACTTGATTTGATGATAGTAATTAACTACTTACTTTTTCAAACTGAGTATCCCCTATATATTGAAAGAAAAACATTACAACCTTTGAACCATTACACATGTCATCACGATAATCAATTTCAAAATTTGTAGAAAAATAAATTGGTCCATCTAAAAATATAATATACTTTTCATTAACCTAATCATATAATTAATTATTGATATAAAAATATTATTCATCATTTCTTTAAATAAAGATACGGAACTACCTAATATAATTAAAATATATATGATAATTAATGATTTTAAATAATAGAGATTTGATAATAATTTATACATCCTATATCATTTTGTTTTATATTAAAATAAATTAGACAATCAAATTAACCAGAAAATAAAATTTTGATTTTTCTCTATATGTTATATTTTGACTTTTTAACAACGAATATAATTTAATAAACTTTAAAAAAATCTTAGAAAATTTTGATTAATGATTTAATTTTAATTTATAATAAGATACACTTGCGCATAAAATTATATTAGTAAGATGTGTTTTTAATAAATATTATGTTAAAAAAAAATATATATATATATATATATATTAATATCCTTTAAATTTATATATTATATAAAATGTATAAATATTTTAGTTTCAAAAATTTCATTGAATTTCTTAAAATTATTATAAGTTAATAAAAACATTAAAAGTTCCATATTTACAATTTTTTATCAATGTTTCAATATTTTTGTTATAAAAATACAAAAAATCATAAAACCATGCGAATAAGAAAATTATTGTCATATTTAAAAATTATATTATACATCGATATTCATATCATTTATATTTAATTATAAATAATTTAAAATACAAAAGTTATTATTTGGATTTATTTACCATAAAATGATTGTATATAACAATGATTATTTTGATTTGCATCTCCGCACCAATTTAGTTATATATGTAATATAGTCACCGACTTGTCACTAATTTAATATAAGTAAATAAATGTTAATAAATAGTAATACATAAAACTGTATGCATATACAATATTCATTCCGCGCAAATCACGGATCTTAATCTAGTGAGAGTAATATAAGTCAAGTACCAAATAGTTAGTTCTGACCTTGCTTGTCTGATTTTTTTTGATATTCTCTTTTAAATATTGTTAAGGAGATTTGTCATTTTGAATTAACTCATTTAAAATAAAAGTATTTTCAACTTCTCTGGAAACTGATTTGTTTTCTCTCATTTAGCTATTTGTTTCATTTTCTATTTTGTTCTGCAACTCCAGCTTAGCTATTTTAAAGCCTTTGACAAAAAGAAGAAGAAGAAGCTATTTTGCTGCCTGAAAATGATAAGATTTATATACAGTTTAGATTGGAGGTAAGGAGTACAGCTTGTGACAGTGAAAACAAAATAACACATGAAAAACTGAGAAAAAGACTAGAGATTCATATTACTTTTTTTTTGGAGCAAATTGGGTGAAAAACTATAGACAATGCCCAAATTAAGGCTGTATCCATAACATAAAAGTTGTATAGTAATGGGTATAGGTTAATTAGATTTATAGGTGTATCAAAATTAATTAGATTTTAGTAAGATTCTGTATAGATATTGTGTAGATATTGGAGGATATTATCAGACTACATCGATAAAGAAAACAATAGCAACTTCAGGCGACTTCCCATCCACATATTCTCAAACGCAAGTGGCGCATGCCAAAAATGAATCAAACTCAAAGATTTGTCTCCTCTATTTACACACATTAACATACTTGGTGTGAGGCATTAGGTTTTGTAATACTAGTCTAACATGTACATATAAAGATCTACGAAACACACTGGACGCCTAACAAAAACACTTGCCCTTTCAAAATAATAATTGTCGGCTATTATCTTCTCCATTTCATGTAAAATGTTTCAATTATATTTACTTACTCTTGTAGTAAATATAATTGGACGGCTAACAAAAACACTTTCCTTTTAAGATCTACGAAACACATTGGACGGCTAACAAAAAGTACACTTACCCTTTAATAAATATTAATTGTCAGTTATTATCTTCTCTATTTAATGTAAAATGTTCTAATTATATTTACTCCCTATTGGTTGAGTATAATGAGGATTTCCCAAGTGCAAGCCGGTTAACTATAATTGTGGCCATGCAAATAAAGTTATATCAAGCTAACAACTAATTGTAAGTTGTTTTGACAACGTTTTCAAACCATAAATCCCAAACCTTTACACCCATAAAACTAAGCCCTAAACCCTCAACCCTAAACCTTTAAACTAAACCCATAACCCTCATCCCTAAACCCTTAAACTAAAACCTAAACCCTAAACTGTAAGCCTTAAACCCTAAACCATAAACTCCAAACCCTAAAGACAGTTAACCCATTAATCCCTTAACCTTTAAACCATACAAAATATTTATCCTTGTAAATCTAAACCATCCAATGAATTAAAGCAAATCGATACACACTTCACAGCCGTGTACGAGGACTCTTTAACCATAAGCCTACCATCCAACACAGTATACTACACTGATCCACATTGGTTGAGTATAATGAGGATTTCCTTAGTGCAATTTAAGTAGCCGGTTAACAATAATTGTGGCCATGTAAATAAAGTTATATCAAGCCTTACATGCCATATAGATAGATAACACCGATACACTCTATTTCAGTATAATTATATTATCCAGCTAGCATGAAACCACTTTTGGCTAAGTATTTGGTTAGAAATTTAACATTCATATTCACACCTAGCAAATAAAATACTATCAAGCTAATACACGGTTAGAAGGTTAGAAGTTGTTTTGACCGATTAGAAACAAAAGTGTAATAAATACATGAGCCGGTTACACCGAACATTGGATATCCATGTATAGTATTGAGATTCTATAAATTTGTAATATCTTAATGTTGTATTTTCAGTGATTTCTGAGAATATAGAATGTTTGTTAGAATGAATACGCACATATGTTGTTGGTTGTATATATTAGAGAAGGGTCAAGGTATTAGTTTCATTTTTATACAACAACAATACACCGGGAAACGAAATACAGCAACTTGGTTCACCACACTGACATTAGTTTGGTATGCTTTTAAATACACAATAATTTGTTGGTGTAGCTCCTAATTTCTTTTTTTTTTTGTCAAAGATTATATTAAAACGGGTGAAACACAGTCCAATACACACAAACCAGCAAGAAACACTTTTCTTCCAAACCATAAACCAACACTTTTCCTCCGAAGCCATAAAACAGCAAAAATCGAAATCTTTCCAGAGCCATAAGAGGAAACACACTAGACAACTAAAAAAAATTGACAAGGAATTCTAAAACATAAGCCAAAGTCCGATACATAGCATTCACAAAATTACAAAACATAAGACAACTAAAAAAGATTCATATTACAAACTCCATAATAAACTTTAAAATTAAAAGGTAAATCAAATTCAAAATAATTCAACAGAGGTGGGTACATAGCATTCACAAAACATCAGTACCTGAACCGGTAATAAACTCAACAAACCTCTCCAAAAATCTCAAAGCATTCTCAGAACTAGGGTTCTGGAGATGAAACACATGTCCTTCCTCTTCTTCCACAACCACCTCCACATCTCCTCCCCACCCACTCTTCCTCAGTTTCTCCGCGTAACCCAACCCTTGCCGCACAAACACATCTTTCCCCGCCACCGCAACCAAAACCTTGTCACATCCCAACCCTGAAAAATCCGAGTCGGATCCAACCACGTTAAACAACGGATCATCCGTCCCGTTCACGCTATTAGGACTCGCGATCTTCTCCCAAACCTCAGCGATTCCACGTCTCATCTCTACGTCTTGCACATCGTGCTCGTCCACAGGATCCGTTCCCCAGAAAGCTGGATGAACAATCGCAACACCTTTGATCCTAGGGTTAAGCTTCTCCTGACCTGCTCTCATGGCCATGTGGTGAGACATGTTGGCTCCCGCGCTGTCTCCGCCGATGAAAACTCTGTTGAAGTCTGCGTACTCGTTGATCCACTCTTCAGGACCAGATCCATCGGCATGTGAGAAGATCCACTGAACCGCGGACCATGAATCCTCGTACGACGCGGGGATGGGATGTTCCGGCGCACGGCGGTACTGGATCGAGACGGCGAGGCAGTTTGCGGATTTGACGAGCTCGGCGACGTAGTTGTGGTAGATGGGAGAGAAAGGTGACTCGATGATCCACGCTCCCCCGTGGATGTAGATAAGCAGAGGGAGTTTGTTGTTGTTGTTGTTGTTGTTGCTGTTGTGGTGGTTGTTACAGGTGGATTTGTGAGGGAGGAAGAGACGAACGGAGAGGTTATGTTCCGGGGAGTATGTGACGTCCTTTGAGACGACGTCGTTTGTTGCGTCTGGTGACGGAGGGATGATTTCGGTGCCGGAGAGACGCTCCACGCGACCGTTTTTGTAGATACGGCAGAAAGGAAGAAGCTCTGAGGCGATTTCAGTTTCCATTTGGAATTTTTTGGAATGTTAAAATGGAAACGTAAGAATGAAAAGAGTGGTTGGTGGTGACTTGGTGGTGTGAGATATTTTTATAAATGAGATAAAAATCTGTGTTGTTTAATTGCATACCAACACGTAGCATTAACAAGACACGTAACTTTTTCTTTTTCTTTTTTGTTTTTATTTAATTGAATTAAAGGAAAATGACAAAAAGAAGGTAGTAAATTGATTGTTTTGGAAGTTCATATTTATTTTTTCCAACAGCTTATTTGGGTAGAGATTGGGAGTACATTCAAAGCAACCAAATCCTTGTCTCTTTATACTCTTATACTTATAGTATTCAATTCTTCTGGATAGTATCAGAGATAGTGAAACAGATACGTCTCTCTTTTGTCCTAAATAAGTCAAAAAGTATTGCTAGAAATTATTTGTCTATGAATTATACAATATCATAATGGTCCAGAAGAGTCGTCAAAATATATTACTAAAAATTATTTGTCTATGAATTAGGTACAACATGGTAATCCCCCAGAAGGTTCGTCCACATGAGCAGAATAGTATATTTTCTAAGTCTTAAAATCATACATGATTCCAACCCTTTATAACTGACTTCAAAGTTCACATTACTGCAATGAGTAATTTAACTGAATGAAACAGAGTAATTAGCTTGTTTGTGTTTTCTGTCTTCATCATAACTGTGAAATATTATATTTGTAAATTCTGTAATGATTTTGTATAATCCAATTGATAATAAATAAGTTTAGCCGAAAAAAACTGGTAACTTGAGAAGCGATAATGAAAAACACCTTTTACTAATATAAGATATCACAGGTGAATGCGTGAAATAGTTTTATCATCAAGTTATAAATGAAATGGAAAATTACTAGTGAGTAGAGTCTTTGAATTTGAATTCTACTTTTAGTGCTCGAAATGTGGATAAATATATGCTTCAAAAATTAACTTTAAATACTGGGATCACATCCAGTGTTTTATTATCTTGTTGTATGAAACTAGAGCTTGTGCAGGATAAGATGAGCACCAAACTGTGGGTGGAGCGTGAAGACAGTGTAAGGAGCATGAACATATGAAGGAGAAAGCTCAAAGGAGAATTTCTGTAGAATCAATGCCATTGCCATCTTTGCCTCCAACAAGGCAAAATTTTGGCCAACGCAGATCCTTGGTCCCCAAGCAAAGGGAAAGAAAGAGACTTGGCTCTTTGTTGCCCTTGAGACACCATCTTCGAATCTCTCGGGCTTGAACTCTGCTGCATCGTTCCCCCAAAGCTGGGTATCGCGTTGGACTAGCATAATAGGTAGATTGATGTGAACGCCACCTGGTAGTGTCAGGTCGCCTAGTTTCATCTCTTTGTGAATGGTTCGGCTCAGCTGAGTTACTGGAGGATATAGCCTAAGGACCTCATTAATTATCATTGTCATCTGCAAGAGGTCAAATTATTCAGCAAAAAAAATTAAAAAAAACAACCAAAGTAAAGTCACTTTAAGGTTTTGGTATTTACTTACAATTTTGAGATGGTTAAGGCCTTCTGTATTGGGTTCTTTATCACCAAACACTTGCTTAACTTCTTCTCGTGCACGTTCCTGCCAGTCTTGGTGTTGACTTAGCAGAATCATTGTCCAAACCAGAAGTACTGAAGTTGTCTCTTGCCCAGCAAAGTAGAACAACTTGCATTCCTCTATCACATCCTCAATGCTCATTCCATTTCCTTTAGCTTGCCCTAAATTAGATTCAAGAAGTATACCTAGCAAATCTTCATTTGGTGCTTCCCCGGCTTCTCTTGCCCTTAACCTTTTGTTAACAAGCCCTCTCAGTATAACTTGAGCTTCTTTGGCTGCTGCTTTTATTCTTAAATTTTCCTTTGTTGGGAGATATCTTCACAAACAAAGAACAACATTATTGAGGTTTTAAGACCAAGATTCAAGCCAGGAGAGTCAGATTTTCAGTTACCTATATCCAGGGATGTAAGACTTCCTAAAAGCTTGTATGATGAGCTGTGCTAGTTCTGTTTGGAGCTCAAATATCCTCTGTCCATCTTTATAGCTGGTGCCAAAAGCAGTACGAGAGATCACATCTTCTGTTATACTCATAAGTCCAGGCCAAACGTCCACCTCACAAGATGACCCTTTGTCCGACACTATCTTGTCCCATTTGTCAACCACCTCGTTGCAGCTCTGGTGGAACACAGGTACCATATTCTATACAGAGAAACAAAAGTCACATTTTGGGTTAGATACAAATACATAAAGCACAAACCTAACTCCAGACTTGAAAAAAACAAAGCCAAAAACCTTGATCTTCTCAAGGTGGAAAGCAGGGTTGATGATTCTTCTATGTTTTGCCCATTTATCACCATCATAACTAAAGAGTCCACTGACTACAAGGTTGCTCAAAGGGAATGTATGTGGCTTCGGGAAATCATAAACTTTGTTGAGCACTTCCTTGATTTGCTCAGGATCCGTAATGGTGATGGTTGGTATTGTTCCACGCCATGTAAAGAAAGTCCTTCCTGTTTCAGCCACATAGAGATACAAAAAAACTTGAAATCTTTTTGTGTAGACCAGTATCTTTATTAAGTTCTTAAGGGCATCACTATTGCTCAGTTTCTTAACTTTTTTAATTTTTTTTTTTGTTTTTTCTGTTATTTAAAAAAGAAAAAAAGACCACGATAATCGTGGGTTGCCACGTGTCCTGGGACTCACGAAACAGTGTAAAAAACGGACAGAAAACGTTTCTTATCTGGGAATTTTGTTATGGGTTTTATCAAATTTGCGGATCCACTGGACAGGCACGAAATCTTAGGTTAGTTTTTAATTATTTTTTTTTTGACTTTTTCAAAAAAAAAAAGTTCGGCGAATCACGGCCCTCCACGTGGCGAACCCGTGACGATCCGGATTCACCACGACGAATTCACGCCATTCGGTTCACCTCTTTTCTCCTCGAAAAACGTGTAAACCCCCTTAAAAACCCTTAATGGGCATGCTATATTGCTCTAAGAGCACAGCAGTGAAGGTATGTGACCGAGTTTCTCAGCTATTAAAATGTGAGAATAACATAGAGGGTCACTTTTCATCTTTGTAATAGCAGAATAGATCACATATTACAACTGAGGCACTTTTGTTCACTTTCCTTTGTTACCAAAAAAAATTATATGTGAAATTCTAATTCTATCCTTCTTGCTTTAAGCAATTAATTTTTTTTCTAGGTTTTTTCTTCCACAATATTTTCTCCTCTGCCGCCAACCACTTATCCCACATCTACTCCTTCTTCTTCTATTCCTTTTACTCCATAACTATCTCCTTCTGCACCTTCTACTTCTCTTAAATCTCCTACTCAAAATATTTCACCTTGAATCTCAGAACCACCGTCGAATCCTTTAAGCAACAGCAGAAACGGATCTCCTTGAACTCCATTTTCACTATCTCCTTCATCAAATGGGTTACCAACATGAATGGTGGTTGATAGCGCTATCGTAGGAGTTGATTTGCTTGTGATAATGATTATGGCTTGTGATATTTCCACCACTGTCAAATCCCTTAAACTCCATCTTCCCCTTCAGATTGGTTATTAACAAGAGCGGTGTCTGAAGTTTCCATCAAAGAAGTTAATTTGCTTGTGATATTAACACTAGTTTGTCCTTTTTGTGAAAAGAAACAAAAAAAAAGAAATTAAGAAGATGTTGAATAAACTTCTCATCCACCTCTTCCTGATTCCAAAAGTATTAATTTGCCAAAAAGTTGCAATTTTTTTGTGAAAATGTTACTAATTTGTACAAAGTTTCAATTTTTTGTGGAATGTTAGTAAGTTTTATGTATTTCAGAGGGAGTTGAAAAAGATAGAGTCTAGAATCAAGCCACTAAAAGAAGTATATGGTAAGCTTTGAGTGTTAAGAGATGAATTAGAGAGAGTGTGAGGATTGAAGAAAGATAGTGCAAACATGTACATGTGTACAACTGCAACTTAGTATACACATAACAATTTTGTAAACATGTACATGTGTACACATGAAAATTTCGTAAATATAACGAAACCATACAATGACATTATGTACAATTTACTCGTGTACACATTTACACAAATGTACATATACTTCGAATATGTATATGTACAAATATATATAGTATCCACATATACATAACTAAGTGTGTATGTAATAGATTTGTACAATGCATGTGTAATACATTTTGTAAATGTCTAAGTGGTATTGTTACATCGTAGTAAGTATGTATGTAATAGATTTGTACAATTTTTTGGGTTGTACACTTGTACACAAAGACAATAAATGCAAAGTTGTACACAAATACACAATATGAAACTGTCCAGATGTACTTGTTCCTCTGATTGTACATGTGTACTCCATTTTCTTTAGATAAAGTTGTTGAAATTTTTTGTGCAATGATTTTTTTTTGTCGGGAGAGTGTGTTTGGAATAGGAGCTTCTAGTTATGTGTTCAGAAGTAAACCCAAAATTTGAAGCACAATTTTAGCTATCAAGAGAATTGATAAAGATGACAATGAATAGACATCTTCAATAATATCAGGCAATTTATCGAACACTTGGTATGCATTCTTTGTATTTTTTTTGCCAAACAAAATAAATTATATCCAGCTATTATTTGACAAAATAAGAGTAAAAACATAACATCTTTAGTAAAAAACAAACCAAGAATAGAGGAAGAGTAAACTTAGTACCAAAAATTCATAAATCTCAAACAAAGCTTGCCCTTTAGAAACTAGTTTCTTCTCCATAGTGAAAAAGGAACCAAAGATCTTTTTTTGTAAGGAGATTTTTCAGAAATTCACAGTTCTCCCATCAGAATTCAGTTTCTCCTCTATGATTATAAACATCTCTTTTCACCGAAAAATGTTAATTCCTAGAAAAAAAAAAAAAAGAGAAAGAGATGCGTACAAAGAGAGAAAAGAGAAAGAAAAAAAAGAAAGAGAGAGAAGAGATGAAATCAGACAACGACAGTTTCTTTTTTTTCTTAGAGAAATAAGATCACTTGATTTTTAGGGGTAATTTCGTATTCAACCATA